CGCTCCCCGGCTCTTTCCACAGCACAAGTGGAAAAGGGACATAATTAAAGGGCTGAGGAAGCACAAAGCCGGCAGCCACGTGCTGCGCTGAGCACTGCCCTCTGCGCTCCGGGCAGCCCGTCACGAGCCCAGCGAGGGCCATGGCTGGTGGCAGCCGAGGGACACTGCTCCTGGCTCCACAGGGAAGGGTCCAGCTCTCCATCTCTGCCTGCATGGATGGGGCTGCACTCAGGATGACCCTTCATGGCACCAGGAGCTCTGGGAGCCCCCGCAGTGAAGGTGGACAGTCCCCCCTGTGCTGCTGGTGCAGGGCCCAGGCACGGCTGAGCTTCAGCCCCGTGGGTCTGCCAATGGCAGCACGCATGGAAGCTGCTCCCAGGGCTGTGAGGACATTCCCAGGCGCTGGCAGACACCCTGTCCCTGCTCCACCTTCCTTCAAGGGCCTCGGGAATGTCCCTCGCTGACAACACTTGCGTCCCCCTCCTGAGTGTGACATCGCTGCGGTCGGGGCAGGAAGAGCTCAGCATGGCTGCCTGCAATCTCTCAAAGGATAATCCAGGGCAGAGCCGGGATTATCCTGGACACGGAGGAGCCTTGTGGCAGCATGAGAAGAGCAGCCTCCGCTTCCCCTCCCACTCCCTGCGACCTTCGCTACCGCATCATCCTCATCCAGCCAGCCTCGCCCCTGGCTCTGTCAACACACAGTGAAACCTGCCACAAACAGGACAGGGAAAGAGGGAGAATCCAGGAGGGAGAGAGCCCTGATCCCGTGGCACAGGCTGCAGGCCTCGGTGGGCTGGGGAAACTGCTGCAGCTGCAGCTGGTGCCGGTAGCAACACGTCTGGTCGGGCTGGTGTCCCGGCCCTTGTGCCTGTGCATTCCTTGCAATACATCCTGGATCACCCTGTCCCCTCCAGGCTCGGCTGACACACGTGCCTCGTCCACATGTGGCAGTGGGATTCTCCCAGAGAAAGAGCCAGAGGTTTCTCAGCACCAGGCACTCTCTCAAGGATGGTCTCCCTGACTCAGAACTGGTATCTGCTGCTGCCTGTGACAGGACAGTGTGGAGGGAGCAGAGCATCCCTGCAGTAAGGCACAGTAATAGGAAGGGACAGGGAACTCCAGGCACCTCACCTTCAGCTCTTCCTGCTCCTCTCTGTGCTGGCAGAGCAGGGCTGGAGACATGGGGTGGGAATGGGAAGGGATGCACAAGGGAGAGACTGGAGCTGAGACCCCACAGGAACACGGCCGGGGCTGTTCATCCCTGGACCAGCAATGCTGCAAGTGGGACACGGTGTCAGCCCAGCTCCCTCGATGCTGCTCCTCATCTGGGGAGAGCCAGAGGAGAAAATCCCAGCTCCTGTCCCCCTCCTGGCCAGGCCTGTGCCTCCTGCAAGCAGCAGGTTTGGCCGGGCTCAGCTGCAAACATCCATCTCTGCCTGCTCGGCACTGCCTCGACTTGCCTGCTCCCCGTGCAGTGGCAGCTCCTGCGGCGGGAGGCAGGGAGGCAGGGAACAGGCAGCAGCAGGAGGCAGGGAACAGGCAGCAGCTCCCTGCCCGCCCCTTCACCACCACTGACTCACCGGAGAAAAATGGGGAGGAGGGGGGAGCTGGCAGGCAGGAGGGAAGGGGCTGTGAGGTCCCCAGGGGAGCCCGCCTGTGTCCTCCAGCTCAGTGGGATGGAGCCTTTGCCTCCCTCCTAGTGGAAGCCAGAGCAGTGCAGAGGGCAGCAAGAAGCCCCCCTGCCCTACGGGGTTGGTGCTCTCCCACCCCTTTGGGGCTCCTTCCCACCACGCTGCATCCAGGTGTGTGCTCAGGCTTTGGGGATCACTCTGCCCCCCAGTTGCCTGCAGATGCCACGAGCATGGATAACACTAATGGGGTGCACTAGGAACCCCATCCCAGAGAGCCCTATGGAGCAATCAGGACATGGAACCTGCCACGGCTGTGAGAGCCCCCACACTCTGCTCCAGTATCACAGAATCACAGAATATTCCAAGTTGGAAGGGACTCTATCCTGCCCCTCTGCTACAGCATCGAGTCCCTCTCTCCCTCTGCACCCCAACCTTCAGCTGCTGAGGGGGGCTCAGGGGCCACAGTGCCCCTGAAGATAACCAGCCCTGCCACTCTTTTCCCCCAAATCCCTGTCTCTGCACAGGATCCACACCCTAGGACACACCACAGGATCGTGCTCCCTCCAGGCAGGACAAGAGCACAATAATATTTACAGTGGCTCTGGCCATGCAGCCCCCCACTGCCAACCTGCCCTCGGCCACCCTCGGGGGGCTGCTGCTCCAGCCAGGAAAACATCTCCACCAAGCAAATAAACACCACCCGACCCGCGCTGCCGGCTCGGCTCTCAAACACGATCCCACGCAGAGGCTGAACTAAAATTAATTCAACTGGGAAAACAAACTTGGATCGTTTGTTCTTCCTCTAAATCACAGCGTAGAAAACTGGCCGGCGTTGCCTCAGTGAGCCAACGGGCCCCGGCGAAGGAGCTGGCGTGGGGTGAACTCCTGCTTGGAGCAGAGTCGTGGCTCCAGTCGCCTCCAGCCACGGCTGCTGTCATGGCAGGAGCACACGGGGTTGTGCAACAGGCCCTGACCTCGCTGCTGTCCCACACTTGCCCCACAGCCGGCCCTGTGGTGACACGCAGTGTCTCCTCCTCCCTGTGTTATCACAGACCCCAGGTGAGGGTCTGGCAGGAGCCCAGGGGGGTCCCAGTGTTGCAGAGGGGGGCAGGACCACCCCAATGCCCAGCTGTGCCTCACTCCCAGCCCCTGTAACAGCCCATCCCACCCCATCCCCACCCCGCGCTCGTCCCCTCCCGAGAGAAGCCACCAAACAGGTTTGAAGGTAAATAACAGCCTTCCCCGGCCAGGAGCCGGATCCGGGCGGGAACATCCCAGATGGGGCGCACGGGGTGGGAGAGGGCCACGAGCAAAGCCTCGGAAGTGATACGGGGCCGCCAGTGGCATGTATGGCCAGGGACAGGCCACCAGCACCTCCTCCCTCCAAGTCCAGAGCTTTGTCACTCCCTGATCCCCCTCCCTCCGTGTCCTCCACCTCCCACGGCCGCGGTGCCCGGGGCTGGCTGCGTCCCACGGCGCGTGCCGTCATGCCCGGCGTGTTTGCAGGGTACCCAGGTGCTGCTCACATGGCAGGCGTTGCCTGTCACAGCAGGAACTTGGCTCCGCGAAGGAGCAAATCCAGGAGACGGATTAAGGACAAGACGTTGCAGGTTTTTCCGTGCACGGATCCCCCGTCCCGCGGGCAGCGCCCAACCCCGCTCCCACCCGCGGGGCTCTCCCCAGGGAACACTGAGGAGCTGCTGCTCCCCCACCGGGGATTGGGACGGACACGGCGATGCGGGATCAGGCAGAAGATGGGAGAAAAGGCGTCAGGTGCCACCAAAATGGGTTGGGGGATAACCCCCAGCCGAAGGGCAGGTCCCATCCCTGCCCCTCGGTGACAGGGCATGTGCCAAGCGGGCACGGCACGGCGTGTTGGAGCCGAGCGCTGCAGCAGCTGCCTGCCCGGGACACCTGCAGATCACCTCCTCCCCTGCTCCAGGAGCAGGAGGGGGCACCAGGAAGGGCTCAGATGTCCCGTACGCAGCAGGGTGCCGGCCGGTGTGCCTGGAGAAAGTGCCTGTGTAAATCACGGTGTATCCCCCGCCGGGCTGGGCCCCTGCCCTTTTCCGCTCCCCCGGGTGTTTGCGGAGCCGGCCCAGCGTGGGTCTGGCACGGAGAGTGGCTGTGAAGGAGAAAGAGCCCAGAATTGCTCGGCCCACCCCAGAGCTGCTCAGCAGGAGCTGGAGCTGCTGAGACACTCCAGCACTGCCGCTGGAAAACTTCACGGCCACACAGCACCCCCTGCCCCAAACCTGCCCCCAAACCTGCCCCCCCCGGGCCATTTGGCTGCCCCATCCCTGGAAGTGTTCAAGGTCAGGTTGGATGGGGCTTGGAGCAACCTGGTCTAGTGAAGGTGTCCCCACCCACGGTGGAGGGGTTGGAATGAGATGAGCTTTAAGGTCCCTTCCAACACAAACCATTCCACGATTCCATGATTTGACCCTGCAACCCTCCCCAGAGCCCACTGGTGGGAAGGCGGGTGCCGGGTGACCCCACACCCAGAGCTCTCCGCTGGCCACATCCCCGCTGAGTCCGCGGGGCACAGCCTGGCCCAGCGCCACGTTCCTCCGCCCTGACTCAGCAGGGCCCGGCGGGGCGTCCCGATAAGGAGGTGATAAGAGGCTTCAGCCTCCCTGGTGCTCAAGGACCTTCCCCAGCAGCTCCTACCACAGACAAATCCGGGAAGGAGAGGCCAGGGATGCACCCGGAGCAAGCCGGGCCCCGCTCCAGCATGGGGACGGGGTGTGTGGGTTTGGCACTGGTGGGGCTGAGCGGGGAGGCTCAGGCAGGGAGCAGAAGGCAGAGCCATCCCAGAGCCCCCAGCTGTGCTCCTGCCTGCCCACCCTGTCCCTGGGGATCACCACTCCAGCTCCTCTGGATCCAAAGGCTCTAGGTGCCCATGGCACAAGCACTAAGGCATCTGCTGATGCCAGCCCGGGCCTGACAGACCAGCAATGGGCACAGCAGGGCCAAGTCTATACTTCCAGTCACTAAACAGATGGGAACTGGGGGACACTGGTGCAGTTGCCTGCCATATGCAATCAGCCTCCAGCCCACAATCCGGCAGCACCGAGGGTCTCCCCGGGCGAGATGGGGCTGCCGGCGGGGCCCGTCCGGCGGGTGCCGGCACACCCTGCCCCCAGCCGGCGATCCCGGCTGCGCCCTCCGAAATGCTGAAGCGACACAATGCAAATTCTTTGGCTTTGTGGCCGCCGCGCCGTTGCCATGGAGCCGTCGCAGAGAACAAACACAACTCGCCCCATGTTTTCTCAGCACCTTCCACCCCACGGCCTTCGGCCCCAGCGCCAGCCCTCGGCTCCCGGGAATCGCACAGTCCCAACATCCCGCCCCTTCCAGGGCGTCCGAAACGGAGCAGGGCTTCTCCCGGCCAGCCCTGGGGAAGGGGCAGCGGTGGCACGGTCCTGGGTCAGGGACTGGCCAGGGGCACTCAAGGCTTGCAGGGGATGGAGAGGAGATGGAGGTCTGGATGGGAATGCCGCATGGAAAAGGTGAGGATATGCCAGGGATGCAGCTACAACAGACCCTGTCCAGTGGCCCTGAGCCCTTCCCACATGGAGACTACAAGAGGATGACTGTGGCAGAGAGGAGCCTGCAGCCAGCCTGTAGGAGAGGTGGACAGTGGAGATCCTGTGGTCCCTGCACAGCCATGGACCCTCCTGCCTCAGTTTCCCCAGATGCCGAGGGGATGCTGTTGGCCCCCTCTCCCTGGGCAGGGTGCCCCCACCCCAGCCTCCACCTCTCTGGGACAGTTTTGCTCAGCGTGGCACTCCCCAAGCCCGTGTGGAGTTCACTTCAGACCCTGTTTACCCTGGGGACAGCTCGGTTCACGCCCCTGGGCGGCTGCTCACTGTAAAGACCGAGGGAAACAGACCGAGGGCAGGAGAGATGGTGGGGCCAGGATCCCGCAGGGATGACAGGGGAAAACCGCCCAGTTACCCCCCCTCGGTCCTGCTAACCCCACTCCTACAGCCCCAGACACCTGCCCACATGCCTGTCAAATCTCCTCCTTGACTCAGGCCGAGCTGGGGACACGGGGACAGTTTAACGACACCAGTGGGGGAATCAGAAACCCCAGGATGGGGACGATGTTACTGCCAGAGACCTTCCCCGTTGGCATCACCCTGCTCTGATGGAGGAACCACGGAGGGAGGTCACCGGGACCGGGCACCCCGTGGGGTCGATGGTTCCATATGCGAGTCCAGGCTGGCTGGGACCCTTTCCCCTACTCCTCTTCCCTGCGGAGAAGAGCTTGCCCTGCCCCATGCCTCCTCCTGGGCTTTCCAGCGGCATCCGTGGAGCCAGAGCACAAGGCAGCGGAGCGATCGGTGTGCGGACGGACAGACAGACACGCGCAGCGAGGTGATGAGTATGGGGGGAGCAGCCCGGTGCTCCCTGCAAACACTCCCAGATCCAGCCCGGTGCTCCCTGCAAACACTCCCAGATCCAGCCCGGTGCTCCCTAGGGCGCAGCGGGAGAAACCGAGGCAGGGGATGGGAGCGAGGGCTGGGGAGGAAGGTGACGCCGGCAGCGCTGGGTCCCCGCTGTAACTGCTGGGATCCCACTCGGAAAACAAATCAGTAACTAATTCAGCTGATCCCGTCCTGATAGCGCCGGCGAGCCCATGGCCGGTCCCCGGCGTGTCAGCACAGCCCCTGCCTGCAGCCGGAGGGTCCTCCCCAGCTCCGGCACTGGCGTCAGGGGGTCTGATCCTGCCCCCCCAGCACAGGGAGGGCAGAGCGAAGCCTCCACCCGCAGCCCCCCCAAGTCCTGGCGAGCCCCACATCGAGGTGGCCGAACTTTCCCCAAAGTCACCAAGCCGGGAACCCCGCGCCCCCTCCCCTGGCATCCCCACGGCTCCTACCTGCCCTCGGCTTCCCGGCGCGGCCGAAGGGCCAGGAGGAGCCGGGCTTGGCGCCCGCCGGGCTCCTCTTGCGGTGCGCGTTGCCCATGAGGCCGCTCTCGCCTCCACCGCGGGCGGGTGGAGGGGACCGCGGTGCTACATCGCGGAGCCGGGCGGGCTCCGGCGTGGCCCGGGCGGCCCCGGCAGACGACGGCGCTCAGCCGCCGGCTCCCATCCCTCCGGCCCCGGCGGAGCTCAGCGCTCGCAGGCGGCTGTGCCGGAGCCAATGGTACAGGCAGAGAGGAGGGGCCTGCCGGAATCACCCGTCGGATCCCACAGCACCCTCCCAGCCCCATCCCTCCGGCAGGGATGCCTGGGTGATACAGAGAGGCTGAGCGGGCAAAGGGAGAGCCTCCCGCTCCTCCCCGCCCCGAACCTCAAACATCGCTGGGCATCGGGGTAGCCGGGCATGGCACTCGCCTCCAGCCGTGCTCCCACCTCCCTGGAGTTTGCCACGCTCCACCGAGCCGCCAGCACGCCTGGCTGTCCCCGAGCACAGCTCCAACAACAGAGGCTACCACCCCCCACTCGGGGGTTTTGGGGGTCCCACCCCTATGGGGACACCCCAGCCGAGCCCGGCATAGTGTGGCCAAGACTAGAACAGGACTTCCAAGGCTGGGGCACAGCGCCCGAGGACACGGGCTGGGTCCGGCCGCTGCCCAAACTCAGGGCGAGCACCCGCATGCCAGCGCCCACGCACCCGTCGGTGGGTGTTAACCCCCCACCGCCCTCCCCACGGCCACTCCTGTCTCTGGGGCAAGTCACGAGGAGGTGGCTCACGCTGCCGGCACCTTCCTGTGCCCTCCCCGGGTGCACCTCGGCTTCTCCCCTGCTCCAGCAGCGAGACGGTCACGGCTGGCAGGGGACGAGCAGCTCCGTGCACAGGCACTGCTGCTCCAACAGCTGCCCAGGCTGCCCGGACAAGCCCTGCCACGGCCCCTTCCCAAGGGCGTACACCAGCCTGCCCCCTCCGAAGCCCAGCTTTCCCTCCTGATTTTTAATTAGAACATTAAATGCTGCGAGGGCAGGGAGGGGTCAGCCAGCCAGGCAGTGGTGGGCAATTCCCTGCTGGCAGTGTTTATGTTCCTTAGGTGATTCATCAAAGGCTGGGATAAATAGGAAGGAGAGTTTTGTGGGAAAGGCACAAAACTGGGGACGTGGTGTGAAAAAAGAAAGGAAAAATTAAAGATCAACCAGCAGCTTTGTCCTGACCTCCCAAGGTGATCGGCACTGAATTAATCTTTGGACCTCAGTCTCCTCCTCCGCAATGGAAATATTGATGGTTCAGTTCCTCACCAGCTTGGTTGGGTGCCCAGGGCACGCTCAGCTGGGCAGGGACAGTCTTGTGCTACAGAGACATGGCTGTACCAGTGTCCCTGTGATTTGCTGCCCTGTCTGCTGCTGGAGCTGTTAAGGAAATGGGGGGATCCAGTAGGAAACTATTCCCTGTCTCCCATTAGTGGCTGTACCCATCCTGGGGCAGCTGGGATTAAAGGTCATGGTCACAAGTGCAACACATCAGAGGTCTCTGCCCAGGGGAAGATGATTTTTCCCGGGGCTGCTGGAGTCAGGTCAGCCAGGGCCATCTCCAGCCTGGGACAACACTTCCTCCCAGTGCCCAGCACCTCCCAGGTATCCCTTAGACATCCATCCCCACACAGCAACTCCAAAACAGGATGTGTGGACCCCTCATGCTGCTCAGACCCCTGCCCGGTGGCACAGGGGGCTCTTCTGCAGCCACATAGAACAACTCTCCCAGTGAAGCACTTTTACTTCTCACCCTGGAAGAAACGGAGAGCCTGGAGCCTGCGAGTGCCCCAGATACAGGGAGACACTTCCCCCTCCACTCCCAAAACAGGCACTCTCCATGCCAGCACCTGCCAGGCAAGCACAGCCACCACCAGCACCGAAGTGTCACCGCCCCCAGCCACAGCCTGGGATGCGCCGGGGGGGCTCCGAGAGGGAGCTGAGCCCCAGGAACCCAGCAAAGCCCACGTGTGCCAAAAATATCAAGTGGCTTCTCTGAGCTGGAACAACTGTGATGGGGTAATTCACTGCCACGTGGAATCCAGCACCAGCTTCAGTTCCTCCTGGGCCTCATGTTTCAGTCCCTGCTGAATTTGGGGGGGCTGAGAGCAGTATGGGGGCTGCAGCATCCCCACAGACCCCACAGACCCACCCCATCGCACCTCTGGGACACAACCCCCTGTAAAACCTGTGGGCAGGCAGCTGCCTGCTCTCATCCTTCATCCCAGACCTGCTTTGCATCACTGTGCCCAGAAATCCAGCTCAGGGAGCCTGAGTGGGAACAACTGAGCACCCCAGTTCCTTGCTCTGTGTTAGAGCCTCAGTAGGGCCCAAAGGGGAAGGGAAGGGTGGGAAGCACTCGCAGCTTCCCCAGCACACAATCCCCAGCACACCCAGTTGTGGAGTGAGGGGTGAGAATGGGGAACTGGGGGCAAGAGACGCTGACTCCAGGCAGAATCTCTCCTCCAGGCCAGAAATCCCCAGTTTTATTCATTGAGAGAACTCTGATAAGAGCTGGAGTGGGAGGGGGGAGAAGCTGCTCCTGAGATACAGATCTGGTCACACGGTGTGACCGCTCCAAGCACATCTGATCGCTCCAAAGTCACACATTCCCTCAGTCACAACAGCCAGCCGGGGCGGGGGGACCCCTCCGTGCTGGCATAGGGGATGGATTCATTCCCTCCTGGTGTTCTATCCATCCCTCCTGGTGTTTCACCCGTTCCTTCTGGCGTTTTCTAAACCTGACGCCGTCTCCGAGCAAACATGGAGTGGGAGCTGAGCTGCCTGAATGAGAAAGGAATTCAGCCCTTGTTCCCTTCATGGGGAAGTAAAGCTCAGCGAGGCAAAGGTAACAAAAAAACCCCACTTGAGATCCCCAATCATTAACAGAAATACATAACCAGAAGGGTTTCAAATGATTTCCTGCTCAAGCCGGAGTCCAGGCCGGCTCTGCCGATGACAGGTCCGGCTCCAGCCCGCAGAGGTGGAGGGAGCCCAGCTCCCTGCTCTGGGTGAGGTGGATTTTATCCACGCACAGCAGGAGCCACAGGGACCAGCCCAAGGCTCCGGCTCCTGCTTGGCAGGGAAACGCTTTTTCACTTCATCCTTGCCCAGCTCTTCACCTTCCAACGGCTTATGTTCCCATCGCTGCCGGAGTCAAAGTCAATGATGATATTGTCTTATGAAATCAGACCTTCCCTCCACAGAGAAATATGACTCCGCTGAAATAGTTTTATCGGATCTTATGGAACGTTACTCTCAAGAGTAATTCTTCCAGTTGTCTCCAGGTGGAATAGCTGTGGTTGCAGACACACCTCTCTTTGTTCGCCGAGCCTCTCGCCGGTGCCAGGCCAGGCCAGGCCAGGGGATTCCTGCTGCTCACATTTTCTGGAGTGTCACTCTTTGCCTGCTGCAGATTAACAAACTCATTCCCACACGGGCACGGGAACAATCCCGGGGTGCGGGAGGTGCGGGGGCAGCCACCCTCTCCCCTCTCCTTTGAGCTGAGAAGCTCAGGACTAAACACAAGCCCCGTGTTTACACCAAAGCAAGTGCCACGAGGCAGCAGGGGACAGAGGAAAGAAGTGTCTGGGGAGATTTCACATCTTGGTTGTTATCAGAGCAACACACAGGAACAGCTCAGCCCCAGATTTCCTGGAGGGCTCACGTGCACCCCAACCACCCCGTGGTGTCACCAGCACAGAATCTAAGGCTGGAAAACATCTCCCAGCCCATCGAGTCCAGCCTGTGCCCGATCCCCACCTTGTCACCCAGCCCAGAGCACTGAGTGTCACATCCAGTCCTTCCTTGGACACCTCCAGGTGTGGGGACTCCAAACCTCCCTGGGCAGCCCCTTCCAATGCTTAACAACCATGAAGAAAGGGAGCACAATCCCCATCTCAGCCCAGTCCCTCCACCCGCTGCTCACCCCGCACACGGCGAAGCCCCGGTTCCAACAAGCACTTGCTGCTGTTACAAAGCAGCTGTGAGCATTGAAAGCTTTATTTTTAACATCACTAGTCCCCCGCCCCAGTCAGGAAATCATTGCTGCTGGACTAAGTTGGCATCAAAAAGGCAAAAAGAAAAAAAAAAAGCCGACCCTAATTTAATATTTCTGGAACATCGATTCCTTCACTTCATCAAGGAATTAAGAGGAATGTTGCAAAAGCCGGATAGAGCAGCGGTCAAAAAACAGACTAAAGCCATGGGCAGGCAGCAGGACCCCAGCACCACCTCATCCTTCATCCCAGACCTGGGTTTACACCTCTGCACCCAGAAATCCAGCTTGGGGAGCACAGGGGGTGGGAATAGCTGTCCCTTTCTCAGTGTTACACCCTTGGTACAGCCCAGCTGCTCTCTCCACCTCAGTTCCCATCACAGGGGTTAATCACTCCTCTGCCTCCAAAGGTTATTGTGGAAATAAACACGATTGGAATGGCAAGGTGCTGGGATACCATGGGAATGGGGCCACAGAGGTGCTCAGAGCAGGCAGGCTGTGTACAGGTAAAACAGCCCAGGGCTGGTGGTGTCCTGGCACCCACTGCACACCCTGGGATGGGGCATTACAGCTCACAGAGGGAATTATCCTACTATTGCACTGGCATAAAAATGGGCCCTGCTACAGCCAGCAGGACCCATTCATCCAAACAGGGCAGAGC